CACTCATCATACACCACTCATCATACACCACTCATCATACACCACTCTTCATACACCACTCATCATACACCACTGATCATACACCACTCATCATACACTACTCATCATACGCCACTCATCATACACCACTCATCATACACCACTCATCATACACCACTCATCATACACCACTGTTCATACACCACTCATCATACACCACTCATCATACACCACTCATCATACACCACTCATCATACACCACTCATCATACACCACTCATCATACACCACTCATCATACACTACTTATCATCCAGTTTGCTCTACCTCCAGTTGGCTCTAGTGTCAATAGCTCTAGCTCCAATAAGCTCTTAGTTTCAATACAGTTAGCTCTGGTTTCAACAGCTCAAGCTCCAGGCAACTCCAGCTCCAGGTGCAGATTTCGTGGCAGGTGCAGCACTTTGTGAACCTCCATGCGCAGATTTCGTGGCAGGTGCAGCACTTTGTGAACCTCCATGTGCAGATTTCGTGGCAGGCACAGCACTTTGTGCACCTCCATGTGCAGATTTCGTGGCAGGCGCAATACAAAATGCGTTGTGGAGAGATAGCGAACGCACGAAATGCTGTATTTTTCAATGGAACCGGTGGCTCCGAAGCTGGCAAGTCAAGGTCTGCGGAACGACGGTTGCGAGACGGTCTCGGGTCATTCTCGGAATCGTCCCTCCATTGGGATTAGAGTTTTCACTGGTTTCTTGAAGTGCAGATTTCGTGGCAGGCGTGGCAGGCACAACACTTTGTGAACCTCCATGCGCAGATTTCGTGGCAGGTGCAGCGCTTTGTGAACCTCCATGCGCAGATTTCGTGGCAGGTGCAGCACTTTGTGAACCTCCATGTGCAGATTTCGTGGCAGGCACAGCACTTTGTGCACCTCCATGTGCAGATTTCGTGGCAGGTGCAGCACTTTGTGAACCTCCATGTGCAGTTTCGTGGTGGCAGGTGCAGCACTTTGTGAACCTCCATGTGCAGATTTCGTGGCAGGTGCAGCACTTTGTGAACATCCATGTGCAGATTTCGCGGCAGGTGCAGCACTTTGTGAACCTCCATGTGCAGATTTCGTCGCAGGCGCAGCACTTTGTGAACCTCCATGTGCAGATTTCGTGGCAGGCGCAGCACTTTGTGAACCTCCAGGTGCAGATTTCGTGGCAGGCACAGCACTTTGTGAACCTCCATGTGCAGATTTCGTGGCAGGTGCAGCACTTTGTGAACCTCCATGTGCAGATTTCGTGGCAGGCACAGCATCTGGGGAGCTGGAAGCTGAGAACTGGCGACTTCGTAGTACAACTTTAGTACGCGGAGTATCTGGCGAGCTGGACGATGAGAACTGGCGACTTTGTAGTACAACTTTAGTACGCGGAGTATCTG